CAACTCACTCATATTATTAAACAGAGTAAATTACAATGCTTTTTTTATTTCATTATTGAAATTCCAGTGGTCCAAGCATATGTAGAAATGCACATATGTGTTATGTGTTTGTAAAATTATATTTCTGTCCTGACACCTGAGGGATTGTATAGGCCAAAGAGAAGTCATCAATTTCCATTAAACAACTCATATTATTAAACAGAGTAAATTACAATGCTTTTTTTATTTCATTATTGAAATTCCAGTGGTCCAAGCATATGTAGAAATGCACATATGTGTTATGTGTTTGTAAAATTATATTTCTGTCCTGACAACTTTCTGAGGGATTGGCATGGTGTACATGACAGTGTTAATGTGTATTGTCTTGACTGGAATAGATCTGCTACGCTGCTGCTGTGGCAGAGGAAGTACCGAGACTTGCTATTGCCAGTACATCCACAACATGCTGCTGTGAGCATGCAAGAAATACTACTGCTGCACAAATAAATAACCCAATCACCGTATTTCAAATACATGCTTTTAATTTAAACTTTCTATTCATCTATCTTGGGGGGGAAAAAAAGTTATCAGAGTTTCTACAAAAATATTAAACAGTACAACTGTTTCAACATCGATAATAAGCACCAAATATTAGAATGATTTCTGAAGGATCATGTGAAACTGAAGACTTGAGTAATGGCTGCTGAAAATTCAGCTTTGACATCACAGGATTAAAATACATTTTAAAATACATTCAAATGCAGCCTTAGTGAGCATAACAAACGTTTTTTAAAACTTTTGAATGGTAGTGTACATATTTAAATTGTCTCCATCCTGAGAACACAAAGTATTGTTTTTTTTTTGTCGTCTAATCAAAGTGAAAGTATTCCTCATGCTCAAGCACAGGGGGTTTTGGTAGTGCTATAGAGAGAGCATTTATAGGCTTACTACAAATGGCTTACGTGTGTACGTGACATAAAAGAAAGTATATTAATCATCAAATCACAAAGTTTTTCAGCATCATATGATTGGCTACAGATTTACCTTATGAAACTTTAGCTGCCATAAACTAGCACTGCATTTATCAGACAGAGTGGTTGTAATGAAAACAGCCTATGATCAACAGATGTGTGTCAGCAGAGAGTTAGCCAAGTTAACCACAGCTGAAATGTACCTAAAATATTAGTGTTCTGTGGGCAAAATCATTGGTTTGTATTTTCAATGTCTAGTGTTCACAAAATCGTCAGACTTCAATTGCCATTAGTACATACAGTATGTCCATGTCTTAACTCAGTGTTGTTTAACATGTTAATAAAGCCAAGAAACATGCCTGTATTTGTATATCTAATTGTGTATTGTCATGATGTTTTGGTTTGATTGCTTCAGATAGTCAAGACATGTAAAAACTATAATTTCATGTCTTATTATGAAAATACATCAAGTTTATTAAACTAAGTAGGCTCAATACGTCATACATTTCCTGCATAAAATTGTGTTATTGTATTTCTCTATTATGTTTTCACAACCAAAATGTGTTGCACTTAAGCCCTTTATTATATTGTCTGGTCATGTTTGTCTAAAATGACTTTTACTACATCAGCCTAAACTTAGTTCACCCCAAAATTATATTTCTGTCATGTCATTCCAAACCTATATGACTTTATTTCTTCTGTGGAACATTTAATAATAATAATATACTGGGTTTTTTTTTCCATTGCGGTGTTGATTCAAATTTGAAAATTGAACGTGTAATCTCTTGAACGTGTATATAAATGACTCCCGCTCAACTTAAATCTAACAAATGTATCACTGACTGGGTTGTTGGTTCATTTGCACTGTTACACAGGCTATACAGGTACAGTGTTATACTGCAATGCATAAACAATATCATTGTGTTGTCTCTTATGTCTCAAAGGCATTTGTTTTTGTTTATTTATTCTCATTTGCATAGTTGAGTCATAACCTTTGAAAATTGTATAAATGTTGATGAGTTTTCTGGTGTTGCAGCATTATGTAATAATTTACATGATACAAAATCAACTTTAAACAAATGAAGAGCAGCCAAAGAAAGTTTGTTCATGTTTATGCAGAAATAAACATTTTGATAAATCTGTGTGCTTTCTTTTTCTTTTTGAAACCGCTCTCTGAAGGAGTCACGTAAGTTTTATGCAGCGTCGAAAGTGAAGA